TCACCCCTACCATGCTGAATATATACTTCCTTGCTGAATTCCCCCTACCTTGTTAAAACACTCCTACCTTGTTTAATCACCCCTACCTTGCAGAGTGCTCACTACATTGTTTAATCACCTCTACCTTGCTTCAGCACCCCTACCTTCTTGAATCACCTCTATTTTGCTGAATCACCTCTGCCTTGCATAACCACCCCTACCCTTAGTAATCACCCCTTCCTTGCCTAATCACCCTTAAATTGTTGAATTCCTCCTATCTTGCTGGAAGTCACCCTATGTTGCTGAATCACCCCTAGCTTGCTTAATCACACCTACCTTGCTTAATCACCCTTGCCTTGCTGAATTTCCACAACCTTGTTCGCACACTCTTACCTTGCTTAATCACCCCTACCTTGCTGAATCCCGCCTACCTTGCTGAATCCCGCCTACCTTGCTGGAACCCCCTTTCCTTGATGAATTGCCCCACCTTGCTTAATCAACCCTACCCTGCTGAATTCCTACTACCTTGCTGAATTCCACCTACCTTACCTAATCACCCCTACCTTGCTTAATCACCCCTACCTTGATGAATCCCCCTTCCTTGTTGAATCGCCCCTACCTTGCTGAATCCCTTCTTCCTTGCTGAATTCTCCCAATCTTGCTGAATACCCACTCCCTTTCTGAGTCATCCCTATCTTTATTAATCATCCCTACCTTGCTAAATTCCCACTGATCAACCCTACCTTGCAGAATTCCCCCTTCCTTGGTTAATCACCCCTGCCTTGCTCAATCACCCCTACCTTGCTTTAATCAACCCAACCTTGCTAAAGCCCCCCTTCCTGGTCGAAAAGGGCACCGGTCAAAAAAGGGGCACCGGTCGAAAGCGCACCGGGTCCGAAAAAAGCGGCACCTGTCGAAAAGCGCACCGGTCGAAAAGCGCACCGGTCGAAATGGGCACCGGTCGAAAAGCGCTCCGGTCGAAAAGCGCACCCGGTCGAAAAGGCACGGTCAAAAAGCGCACCGGTCGAAACGCCGCACCGGTCGAAAAGCGGCACCGGTCGAAAAGTGCAACGGTCGAAAAGCGCACCGGTTATGAAGCGCACTGTCGAAAAGCGCACCGGTCGAAAAAGCGCACCGGTCCGAAAAGAGCACTGGTTGGAAATTGCACTGGTCGAAAAGGGCACCGGTCGAAAAGCGCACCGGTCGAAAAGGGCACCGGTCGAAAAGGGCGGTCGAAAAGCGCACCGGTCGAAAAGGGCACGGTCGAAAAGGGCACGGTCGAAAAGCGCGCCGGTCGAAAAGCGCACCGGTCGAAAAGCGCACCGGTCGAAAAGGCCACCGGTCGAAAAGTGCACCGGTCGAAATGCGCACCGATGGTGGGAGTTTAGACCGGATGGTGGTGGGAGTATAGATGGGTGGTGGTGGGAGTATAGACCGTGGGTGGTGGGGATTTTTAGACCAGGTGGTGGTGGGGAATTTGGCCAAGGTGTAGAAGGAGTTGAGACTGAGTCGTGCTAGGAGTTTAGACAGGGTGGTCGTGGGTAGTTCTTTCCCGTTGGTTGTGGGAGTTTAGACCGGGTGTTGGTGGGAGTTTAGATTGTGTGGGTGGTGGGAGTTTAAACCATGTGTTCGTGGTAGTTTAGACAGGCTGGTTGTGTGAATTTAGACTGATTGGTGGTGGGAGTTGAGACTTGGTGGTGATGGGAGTTTAGACCGGATGGTGGTGCAAGTTTAGACCGGGTGGTGGTGGGAGTTTAGACTGGATAGTGGTGGGAGTCTAGACCGGATGGTGGTGGGAGTTTAGACCGGGTGGTGGTGGGAGTTTAGACCTGTTGGTGATGAGAGTTTAGACGAATGGTGTTGGGAGTTTAGAACGATTGGGTGGTGGTGGGAGTTAAGACCGGATGATGGTGGGTTTTTTGATTGGGTGCTGGTGGGAGTTTAGACCGGTGGTGGTGGTAGTTTAGACTGGGTGGTGGTGGGAGTTTAGACCAATTGGTGGAGGGAGTTTAGACCGGGTGGTGGTTGGAGTTTAGACCGGGTGGTGAGGGAGTTTAGACCGGGTGGTGGTGGGAGTTTAGACCGAATGGTGGTGGGAGTTTATACCGGTTGGTGGTGGGAGTTTAGACCGGATGATGGTGGGAGTTTGGATCGGGTGCTGGTGGGAGTTTAGACCGGGTGGTGGTGGGAGTTTAGACCAGTTGGTGGAGGGAGTTTAGACCGGGTGGTGGTTGGATTTTAGATTGGGTGGTGAGGGAGTTTAGACCGGGTGGTGGTGGGAGCTTAGACCTGTTGTGTGATGTCATCATATGTTATCACATTCTGTCTGCCTCCCATCCCTTGTTTCAATTCGCACGTATGGTTTGACTGTGTGTGAAAGAATTTGTGTGGTGTGTGTTCTGGAGTTTGGGAATGTGTTTTGTGTTATTCTGTCTGAGCAGGTATTTGTGATGATAGATCTTGAGAAGATCTTTCCGACGCAACAAGAATCGCGTCAATCGGAGCAAGAACGCGAAAGCTATGAAGATTCAAAGTTCATGAGCTTGCGTTACAATTGCGGCGGTTACTAAGTGAAGTTGTGGGGTGACTTTATATGGAGTTGGGACCTTTGGGGTTGGGGAAACTTGTCACTCTACTGTAACAGCTGCAAATTGGTTGGGAACAACCAAGCTAGGTTGGCAAGGGTGGCCAACTTGGATGGATTGGTTGGGAAGGGACAAAGGTCAAAGTTGGGGTTCCTATAGGGAGGGAATCTTTGTGCTTATGGGGTTTCCTTGGTTGGGGACTCTCTTGGGACCTTCCCTCTCATCCCTCTCTTCTATCCCAACTTTTCTCTTGCTCCTCTAATTCCTTGTGAGATTCTTGAACTTTGATTGAACTCTTGAGATTGAGTTAAGTTCTCCTCCTACAGCTTACCCCCTAGTGCGTCGAAAGCCATAGCGTCGCGAATACTTCATCAATCAACGTGATTCAAATTGGGAACGGTAGCTGAGATCAAGAGCTACAACATATCCAAGTTTCGCGACATTCCAACGGCTAGGTTTTCGTCGACGTCGTTTCTTGTGAAGACGACTTTTCTGTCCAGAATTTCGGATTTATATTTTGAGTAATTCTAGCTCCTAAGTTCACCTAGACTCCGTCCTTAATCCTAACAAGTGGTATCAGAGCGATATTAAGGACATTGAGAGGAGTCTACAGAAGTGTGAAGACCCTTCTAGACCCACCATGGCCTGTGGGTGTGCCTAAGTGGTGTTCTAAAGGTTGGATGTGTCTTCCGCTAAGGGGAAACTCTGCCCGAAATTTCGTGGACGCCGACACTTGTGAAAATATCGAGGGAGCTGAGTGTGGACAGCAAAGGGGAGCTGAAATTCGTCATTTCTCAAGGAGAAGATGAATGAGAGAGGAGGAGATGCTAATGGAAGAGGAGCTGTAGCTGAGAAGACAAGTGAGCCGCCGCCATCAAAAGTTGAAGCTTTGGATGGCTCCAACTATGAGGAATGGAGCGGACGGATGAGGAGTGCCTTCAAACGCTACAAGCTACTGAAGATTGCTGTTGGGGAAGAGAAGATGCCGGAAGAAGGCGAAGCACGTGAACGGTGGATTGAGAAAAGCGCGGTGCTTTTCGACCTCATCCTTCAATCGGTCAACAAGGAGATGTTCGAGCACATCAAGGATCTTGTGGAAGCGATGATTCGGGTCCAAGGGCGTGGAAACTACTACGCGATGTGATTCAGCCCAACACTCTCCTGATGGTGATCGTGCTCGAGAAGGAACTTGCTGCCATCTCCATGCGACCAGGGGACGATGTGAAGCCGGTCCTTGACAAGATCAAGGACACCTATGCAAGGATGGCAGCAGCGGGCAGCAGTGTATCTCAGCTGCAGCAGTGCACCAAGATCATCTCGGTGTTGGACAACTCTTGGGACAACCTCATCCCCACCCTCAACTCTCAACAAGATCAATGGACACCTGAGTGGCTAAGGCAGCAGATTCTGCAGGAGGACTTCCGCAGACGCCATGTGGGAGGCGGTGCTGCCACTAAGACTGCTGAGGGGTATGGAGCTGCAGGGCGCGGCAGAGGAAGAGGGGTTGGAGAGGCCGAGGCCGTGGGAGGAGCTTTGGCAGAGGTAGAGGCCGAGGTGACTATAATGAGGGGCATGGGAGCTCTAGTGGCAGGGGGAGTACCAGAATGGAGGGCACCTGCTGGTACTGCAAGAAGATAGGGCATCCTTGGTTCAAGTGCTTCAGCAGGCCGGAGGGATGGGCACCTCCAGGCATGAAGCCACCCAGTGGTGAACGCGCACAAGGTGGCGCTGTGCAAGGCTCAGGTGCACAAGGTGAAGGTGCACAAGGTAATGCCTATCCTGGTTTGTTTCTTATGGTTGAGGATGTGCATGGGCATGAGGGTGATGTGGGATTTGTGGGAAAGGTTGTGATGCACCCTCTCACGCACTGGGTGATTGATTCGGGTTGCACCAGTCACATGACCCCACGGGCAGATTTGCTTGATGAGGTAAAACCCCCTGGGAAGATTAAGTATGTGGCAGCAGCGTCAGGTGCTTTGCTCCCCGTGATTGGTGTTGGGAATGCCAAGGTTAAGGGAGCTAATGGGGAGCTTGTGGGGCTTGGGAATGTTCTGCTGGTTAAAGGCTTGTCTGCTAACCTTCTCTCTGTGCGGCGACTGCAGAAGAGTAAGGCCGAAGTGACCTTTGGACCAACCAGCTGCCGTGCTAAGCTTGGGAAGAAGGTGCTGTGGAGTCTGGAAGAGGAGACCAGCTGCATCAAGGACCTGTGGCAGCTGCCCATCATCCCTTGGAATGGGAAGACTCCAACAGCAGCAACGGCAGCAGTGGCAAAGGCAACAGCAGGAGGAGATGCAACTGCACCAACTGATGGGGTGCCTGGAAGCAGTCAAGAAAGTGCAGAAGCAGCAGACACATGGTGAGGTGCTTGCTGGTGTGGATGCGAGTGCGGCATGGGCTAAGGCTTCACCAAAGGAGTGGAGAGGCCGATTGGGAGACATGGCATGAGAGGCTGTGTCATGTGAACTTCCCTATGCTGCAGAAGTTGGTGAAGGATGGGAGCCTGAAGGGCTTGGAGGTGAAAGGGGGAGTGAAGGAGATTGGGAGCTGCCCTACATGCTTGGAGACCAAGTTCTCCAAGTTCCCCTTCAACAGCACTACAGGACCAGCCAAGACCCCACTTGCACTTGTGCATATGGATGTGGTGGGGCCCACAAGAGCCCCTTCCCTCTCAGGCAGCCGCTATTTCTTGACAATTGTGGATGACCACACTCGGGCAGTGTGGGTTTACCCTTTGAACAGCAAGGGGGAGGTGGCAGCGGCTGTCCTTAAGGAGTGGATGCCTAGAGCTCAGAGGGAATGCGGACACAAGGTGAAGGTGATCCGCAGTGACAATGGTGGGGAGTTCATTGGAGCTGATTTTGAGGGGGAGTTGAAGAGGAAGGGGATCCAGCATCAACTGACAGTGCCCTACAACCCGCAGCAGAATGGCGTGGCTGAGAGGTTCAACAGGACCCTGCAGGAGGGGGCACGCACTCTCCTTGGGCGTGCAGGGCTGCCTGATCCGTTTTGGGTGTCTGCACTGAGGCAGGTCGCCCTTGTGAAGAATAGGGTGCTGGCTACAGTTGGAGATAAGGAGTGGATCCCATATGCCAAGTGGTATGGGAGTGCTCCAGCGGTGAACATGCTGAGGGCATTTGGGTGCATGGTGGTGTTTCATGTGCCCAAGGAGAAAAGGGGGAAGTTGGAGGCTTCTGGAAGATGGGGTGTGCACTTGGGGATTGCAAAGGATCACAAGGGGTGGCTGCTATGGGACCTGACCACCCAGAAGCTGACAGTGTCAAGGGATGTGAAGTTTCTTGAGTCCCTGTACTATAAGGAATGGAAGCAGCAGCAACAGAAGCTTCCATCTACACCGCTCATTGTGGAGGCAGATGAGGTGCAGCAGCCTTCAAGACAGGTGGAGGTTGCAGTGGCAGAGGAGGAGATGTCTGGGGTGACTGAGGAAGGGGGAGCAGCTGAAGTAGAGCAGCAGCAGCAGCAGCAGCATGAGTCTCCACCTCGAGTTCCACACCCGCCTGAGCGTCCTAGGAGGGATGTGCGCCCTCCTGTGAGGCTGACCTATGGGGGAAGAGGCAAGCCGAATGTGGTGCAGGCTGGGAGTGTGGTTGAGCAGATTGAGGAAGATGAGATCGCTCACTGCTACTGGGCACCAATCCCTGAGTACATGGCCTTACACCATGGGGCCAAGGAAGTAGTGTGGCTAAGGCGTTTGTTGGAGGAGTTGGGAGTTGGTCAGGAGAAGCCGACAGTTGTGTTTTGTGACAATGAGTCCGCTGTGAAGCTCGCCAAGAATGCTTGTCTGCATGGGCTGACAAAACACATAAGGCCTAAGTGGCATTGGGTGAGGAGAATCCTTGATAAGGAGGTGCGGCTGGAGATAGTGAAGACCCATCAGCAGGCAGCAGATATTTTCACTAAGCGTCTGGCGGAGGCGGATCATTGGAAGGGCATGAAGCTTGCTGGGATGAGTGTGCATTGAGTATGCATGCTTGAGATGTGGTATGGTCGATGATGGTTGGCAGCCAGAGGGGGAGATTGTTGTGTGATGTCATCATATGCTATCACATTCTGTCTGCCTCCCATCCCATGTTTTCAACTTGCATGTGTGGTTTGAATGTGAAAGAATTTGTGTGTGGTGTGTTCTGGAGTTTGGGAATGTGTTCTGTGTTATTTTTGTTTGAGCAGGTATTTTGATGATAGATCTTGAGAAGATCTTTCCGACGCAACAAGAATCGCTTCAATCGGAGCAAGAACGCGAAAGCTATGAAGATTCAAAGTTCATGAGCTTGCGTTACAATTGCGGCGGTTACAAAGTGAAGTTGTGGGGGTGACTCTATATGGAGTTGGGACCTTTGGGGTTGGGGAAATTTGTCACTCTACTGTAACAGCTGCAAATTGGTTGGGAACAACCAAGCTAGGTTGGCAAGGGTGGCCAACTTGGATGGATTGGTTGGGAAGGGACAAAGGTCAAAGTTGAGGTTCCTATAGGGAGGGAATCTTTGTGCTTATGGGGTTTCCTTGGTTGGGGACTCTCTTGGGACCTTCCCTCTCGTCCCTCTCTTTCTATCCCAACCTTTCTCTTGCTCCTTCTAATTCCTTGTGAGATTCTTGAACTTTGATTGAACTCTTGAGATTGAGTTAAGTTCTCCTCCTACAGCTTACCCCCTAGTGCGTCGAAAGCCATAGCGTCGCGAATACTTCATCAATCAACGTGATTCAAATTGGGAACGGTAGCTGAGATCAAGAGCTACAACATATCCAAGTTTCGCGACATTCCAACGGCTAGGTTTTTGTCGACGTCGTTTCTTGTGAAGACGACTTTTCTGTCCAGAATTTCGGATTTATATTTTGAGTAATTCTAGCTCCTAAGTTCACCTAGACTCCGTCCTTAATACTAACACGTCCATGTCCAAGCATGCCTCCTGCAGGTACCTGTGAACCTTGTCCGGCGCAGCCACTCCCGTTCTCGCCTCCACCTCTGCCATCGCCGAGCCCAGCATGTCAAACAAGCGCCCGCCACCTCGGGCCCTAGCAACACTCCTCCCCCCCAGTCCCGCGCTCCCCCTGTGCTCGTCCCCTCCTGGCCCCCGTCCACCGCACGCCTGCTCTGCTCATCCAGGTAACACTGCAAGCGCGCCCTGACCCATGTCACCACCTGCTCCAATGTGACGTCGCGCACCGCCCTACGCCCCCCAGCGGCTTCTCCCGCTAGCTCAGGGTGGGCCCCCTCCCACCGCTCGAGCTAGAAGTACAGCTGCTTGAACCTGGGATCCAAAAATGTCGCCACTGCCAGCTCCATGCTGATGCCGTACACGTACTTCTTCAGTACCTTTAGAGCTTCCCCCGTCAACAGCTTGCACAGCTCCCCGGTACTGGGTCGTGGTAGATGCGCTCAAGCTCATCCATGAGCAGGTTGTACTGCGGCACCACTGCTGCGGCAGTGGGGTACAACGACCCCTCTGCCGCAGTAGTGATGTCATGGAAGGGCTTGAGGAATTCCAACAGAATCCTCAGAGCGTCCCAGTGCGCATCTGCGAGGCGGACACGCGCAGCCTGTTCGCGCGTGCGCTTGTCACGTGCCGACTGTGGAATGGGGGATTCAGGGGAACACGCAGCAGCAGAGGGGGAAACTCATATTTTGGGAGGGTAATACGCATGGGCGAATTAGGGAGACTGTCAGCATTTCCGAACGGAAGAAAAACATGCACGCGAATTGTGGCAACCCAGGAATTTGGGAACCATACCTCGAGTCCTGAGAAGTATAGTAGGATAGGATCTTTCAGCATCAAGAAGCGCTCCACCATCTCAAAGGACGACCCCCATCACGTGGGGGTGTCGCTGATGAGCCGGAGAACGTGGCCGCCCTGACCCGCCAGTCGCAGCTGCTCGTCCTCGAACGCGTCCGAGCGCGTCAAGCTCCACCCAATGAACGACGCAATCTCCCGCATACGCTTGAGCGGCTCGAGGACTGCTGGACTCCAAGTGCCTTCTGGACCGCGAGGTTCAGAATGTGCGCCAGACACCTGAAGGGGGAAGTCCATTGCATGGCACGACATGGTATGGCATGTCATGGCATGGCATGGCATGGCATGGCATGGTACAGCATGTCATGGCATGGCATGGCATGGCATGGCATGGCATGGCATGCCATGGCATGGCATGGCAAGGTACAGCATGGCATGGCATGGCAAGGCCTGGCATGGCATGGCATGTCGTGGCATGGCATGGCATGGCATGGCATGGCATGTCATGTCATGTCATGGCATGGCATGTCTGGCATGGCATGCACCACACACCTGAAGAAGAAGCCGGGGTTCAACACTGGTGGGTTGCGAGCGTCCTCGGTCTCCGGGTCGCCAGTCAGGATCTTGAGCGCCTTGATGTTGTTCTCGGCATTGTCCGTCGTGATGCCGAGCACAGAGTCCTTCAGCCCCCAATCCAATATGACCTTCTCCAATGTCTCTGCAATCAGCACCCCGGTGTGCGATCCCTAAATCTCCTCAAACTCTAGCAGCGCCTGTCGCAGCTGGAAGTCTGTCGTGATCCAGTGCGCCGTGACGGCAAGGAAAGCGTCTTGCGCCGAGCTGGACCAAATGTCCGTGGTGAGGGAGACCTTCCCCGCCGCACCATCACCGACAATGTCTTGCAGCTGGCGCTCGCGCGCGGCGTCGCCTTGCACGAGCATGTCGCGAGCGAGGCAGAAACGGGAGCCGAGCAGTTCAGCAGCGGGAGGATTGAGGAGGCGGGTGTAGCGGCGGAAGTGGGGAAGGGAGGGCAGGGGAAGGAGGGGGGGGGAGTAGGTGGACGTGTGCAGAAGTGCCGCTCTACATGGTTGGGGTGATATTCCATAACGACACGTGGGCGGTTTCAAAATGCGCAGATGTGAACGAGCGCATGTGCTTACAAACTTATCTCTGTCAGTTCTTACCGAGGGGCGGTCGACCAGGCAGCACGGAAGGTCCGCGTCTGCGAACAGCTCGACAAGAGCGTGGCGCAGACGCTCCTGCGTGACGCGATGACCGAAGAACTGAGGGATCTGCCGTCGACCCGCCTCGACACCCGCACCCGAACCGCACGTGCCCGCACCATGGATGTCGGGGTATGCATCAGCGTGCTCCCACGGGTCAGGTCCGCCTGGCACCCCCGGGTACCCCTTCGCTGGAAACTCCAACCCTGGCTTCTTGTTGGCATCAGTGAACAGGCGATACCAGATCTGGAAGTGAGGCATGTGGAACGAGCGCATGTGCTTCCACGCCGAACCAGTGCTGCTCTCACCCCAACCGATCGGCACCTCGCATACCTTGCAGCATCGCGCCCCATCCCCCCCCTCTGGCTGAAAGAACATCCCCTGCATAAGCCCAGGGACAGTACCCCAGTAGCCGACTGTCACCTGAGAGCTGTCGCTCGCTCGCGACCGCTTATGCTGTCCACCTGTGCCCCCTCCCCCCCCACGTGGGATGACAGGCCGCCCCGGCGCAGGCGTACCACACTCCGCATGACCCCCCTCCCCCACGCCCTCAGCATCCCCAAAGCGCGCTGCATCCCCACCACCGACATCCAGCTCCCCCTCACTATTAGTGCCACTGCCGGCACCAATCGCCCCTGCCCTCCCCCCACCAGGTCCACCACGGCCGCGACCTCTTCCCCTCCCCCTCCCCCTTCCCCTGCCGCTCCCCCTCGCCTCCCCCTCCCCCTCCCCTCCCCCTCCCTCCCCCTCCCCCTCCCCCTCCCCCTCCCCCCCTCCCCCTCCCCCTCCCCTCCCCCTCCCCCTCCCCTTGGCCGGTCCATCTCCTGACGCCTCATCCTCCTCTTCCTCCGCATTGGGATGCCACTCCTGGACACCCTCGCCTCCCCCCCCCCGTCCACCACCCTGCCCACCGTTCCCCCCCCTGGGTTGCCCCATGCTCCCCCCCTCCTGCATCGCCCGCCTCCACCTCTTCCAGGAAGTCATCATCCTCTCCCCCCTCGTCCGCACGGACACCGCTCGCCAATGCAAAACTCTGGCGGCCGCTAGGGAGAGGGAGGCCTGTCAGAGATGCTCCAGGCATGGCACCGCTCTGGAGCCCGCCACCCTCAACCCTCCCGCTCCCGAAAGGGACGGGACGCCCGTCACGGTCGTAGAACTGCATGACGGGATAGTTTCGAACCCTAAACTATGCGCTACGGCAAGGATTTCGAGTGGGCGAATACGTCGTGTAACTCAAGATCTCCAAAACCCTAACCCCCACGTGCAACCAAGTTCTCTCCGTTTTGTTTTACCTAAACCCTAAGTAATGTCGGGAAAAAACGATTTAGAGAGCGGGGAATGTTTAGATTAATGTGGGTGCTGTAGTTTGGTGGCGCGAGTATGATAGGGACTCTACGAAACTAGGTCTGCAAAATTGGGGAGGAAATTTCGACCAAATGGTCGAAATTTCCAACCCTCCCCAATTTTGATCGCGCTGCTGCCGACGGGTAGTAGCGCGACCCGATTTCGGGTCGGGTATACCCGATCCGACTTCGGGTATTTACCCGAACTCGGGTATGTAATACTCGACCCGGCGGGTACCGCTACCCGCGTCGTCGGGTAGCATTTCGGGTAGCGGGTATCGAATACCCGCCCGGGTGACCCGGACCCGACCCGCCGGGTATTTTACAGGATTTCAGATACCCGACCCGCCCTAAAAGCGGATCCGGGTACCGGGTACCCGACCCAGTCGGGTAGTTTGCTCAACCCTAACTGCCCTTATCATTGGCAGATAGGAGCTCAAACCCCTCAGCGTAGGCATAGGCAAGGGATGGGCTCGGGTAGACACGGGCAAAAAACATCTTTTTTATCATCGCGCGATGCGATGAATTATTTATCGCGCGATTTAATTTAAATCGCAGTTTAATCGCACTGGAAAACGCGATTTGAATGCGATATGCATGCGATGTAGCACTGAAACCCACTACGAAACCACACTATTTATTTGCACTCTAGCTTACGACTGCCCGTGATTCATTTTCCCGGCAGCCATGGTTTTTTTTCCTTTTTGGGTGTTCTTTCATTCTGTTTTAAAACGCGATGCGATTTAAAATCGCATCGCGCGATGTAATTAAATACCGCATGCGCTTTAAATATTAATCGCGCGCAGAACGCGATGTGCGATTTATTTTTCCAGAAATTAAATCGCGCGATGCGATTTCAAATCGCATTGGATTTGATTGAATTGCCCCCCAGTGCGATGCGATTTAAATCGCAATCGCATTTTGCCCATGTCTAGGCTCGGGCCGGCCTGGCCCGAGCTGCCCCGGCCCGTCTATCTAAGAGACGGGCTTGGGCTAAGCCGGCCGCCACCCCGGCCCGAGGCCTGTCTGAAGTCGACAGGCCGGGGTGCTGTGATGCGCCTAGTGGCCCTTGGGCCCGTGGCGTTCCGCCCAATTAGCGCGGTTCCGGTGTTTCGCCGCCGGATCCGCGTGGATTGGGTCGTTTCGCCCACCAATTCGGGCTGGCGTTTTCCTCCTAATCGTCGCAGATCTGGGCGAAAATTGACCTGAGGGTAGAAAATATCGCCCAGCATGACCTGTCCCCAGCCTGTCGTCATCGTCAGAGACGGAGCAGACGTGTCGACCCAGACCCGTTGACACAGGCCGTCCACTAAGGGGAGAGGAGACTGCCTGGCCCAAGGCCTGCCCCTCTGCCCATGAAACCTCAGTTTCTTCCTAACTGCACAAGCTTACCCTAATCTTTGGGAAAGCTAGCGCATTTGGTGAGAGTAGAATATAGGCCGTTGGGTAGCTGAAATGGTGAGAAACCCTACGCTAGTTCTGCGACGTGGTGTGGCGGGTAGTGTTTGCCAAAAACCCTAAAAGCCGAAATGTTGGACCCCGCGCCTTGGTTTGCGGGGGCCGTCGACAGGCCGCATTGCAGCCAGCCCGGCCCTCTGCTCTATCTACTGCACGGTCCCACAAGTGCACAGCTGCAAGGCAGCTTCCACAACTGCAAGCAGGTAGTTCAGTCCAACTTTGGAAAACTCACCAAAGCATTGGAGAAAAGTTTCTCAAAAGCCTTTTCTCTTCTTCTGTGCTCTTCATATGATCCTTTGTTCCATGTTCTTATGTTCTTCCTCCAATTGCTCTCTCACCTTCCCTATCCTTGGGTCATGTTTGCACATGGAGTTTGCAGCACGTCTGCATGCACCTTCGGTCTTATCATCACATCGCAATCCATGGCAAACAATTCCTCTCCTAACCCCCTATCCTGTCCCTGTGTCTCCACACGCTCCAGAAATGTCCACAACTCAGCCATCTTATTCATGTAGCATTTTTAGGCATCTCGCCAATGAATATACTTCCTATCATGTGAACTTGAAATCATTGCTATTTTCTGTCACATGCCTGATTCATATTTATTGCGACAGGAGTCTTTGCCCGAATCAGCTCACTGGTTCGATCCCTGCTGCAACCAGCAACTCTACACGTCTTCAATTCCTGTAAGCCCTCTGATTTCCTATCTTTGCCCATCTAGCCAACTCCCGTTTGTCCCTTTTGCCCTCCCCCCCCCTTCACTTCCTTTGTATCCTATTCTCTCCAGCCCACTTACCACCACTCTCTTCTCTACTCTACATGCTGTACTGCATACTGGTTCACAGCGCTGGAGTGGACTTGTAAATGACGCGAGACAAAATGCCCGCAGACGTTCTCATTGGACTAACTTAGTGGGTGCGAGACTCTGGTACCTTGCTGTGCTCAGTTGGTAAGGGAGCGGGTTGCTGCATTGGTATCTAGAACAGGCTCGCACAAGCGCTAAGCTGTAAGGCAGCGTCTACAACTGCAGTAGCTATTTGTGTTATATTCTCTCAATGACAGCAGCGACAGTACCGTATGGCCTTTCCCTCCTCTTGGTTCAAGTCGTTCCCTTTCCTATGAGTTTGTTCGCCTCTGTCTTCTCTTCTACTTTCCTATATTACTCTATGCTTCACTCCTCGATTTTGTGTCATCCCTCCTCGTCATTCCTCTTCTTCCTCCTCGTACTGTTTTCCACTGTATCATGTTCATAGTTTAATGCTAAATCAAATGACCTTGTTGAATACGGACACATGTTGGAGCAGGCAAAGAGTACCCTTCTACATATGTTCAGTGCCGGGCCGGGGCATACCGGCCCAGCCCGAGTCGTTCGCGGGCGGGCTCGGCCTCTGCTCAGCCCGTGTTGATAGGACCGGGCCGGCCCAGTCCGTGGCAGCGCTGGCCCCAAGCTCGTCCACTCGGTCGTCAGCGTTGAAGATGGGCCGAAACAGGATGGCCGGCTGGGAGGCCGGCGACGGGCCGAAGCATGTCCGGTCGACAACCTGCACGACCCGAGTTGCACGGGTCACTGACCCTTAGGGGCGAAAATCTACCCAATTCATGCAGACCAGATGGCGATGTGCCTGACAGGCGCGGATCAGCGGTCAAAACGATCCGCCCCCCCAGATCGTGCAGAAGATCTGCAAAGTTTGGGTTGCGAAACGTGTGTTTTGAGTCGACTCAAGACACACGGGGCCTCCCCGATTGGAGGACGGGCCTACCCCGGACTGTCCTCTCCAGGTGGGGCTCGGCCCGGGGGCCGGCACGCTCCCAACTGGGACTGGCCAGCTGGGCCATAGGCATGTTCATGGGGCGGTCGGGCCAGGCTGGGCTACACCCCGGCCCGAGGTCCATGAGTAGAGGGCGGGCCCGGGTAGGCCCATCCTTGGGCCGGGCCAGCCTGAGACGGAACTAGCGACCCATGGGTGCGTGGCATTTCAACTGCCGATCCGCGGGGATGGGGCATTTTGCCTGCTGAGGCGGATCTGGCTTTTCGCCGCCCGATCCGCATAGATTTTATCACTTCGCCTGCCGATCCGTGCAATCTGGCGTTCCGCTGACCTAGGCGTTGAATGTTCGGCCCGCGCGACTTGGGTCGCGCAGGTCGTCGACGGGCTGCGCTTTGGCTCGTCAATGGGTCTTTTGGCCTGCCGGCCTGTGTTGTCCCGTAGACATCGGGGCTCGGACCGGGCCGGCCCGACCATGGCCCCTCCCATGAACATCCCCACCGTGTCGGCGTCTCCTCAATTCTCCTACCCCCGCCCATCCTCTGCTATGTGTGCGCACATTCCAGGAACAATGTCCACCATGCTGCCGTGTGCTATGTGTGGATGACACATGCTGGAGCCGGCAATCAATGCCCTTCTGTCAAACTTCACTAACCAGTTTAGTCTCCCTACTCCTTTTGCATGCCTGATTCGTGTTCATCATCACAGGCGCATACAAAGTTGTCAGGTGTCTGGCTCAATTCCTGCTGCAATTGGCTCTCTGAAATCCCTGCAATTGATTTAAGGCCTCTGCTTTGCTTTGCTCTGAATGCTCTGCCTCTCCTGTCCAACCTTTCAGCGTCAATTTGTTTGATGCTAAGCATAACCCACGCTCTCCATTGCGCCCTCGCCCGTTTTATCCTCTTTGACAAAGTCCACATACCACCACCCTCCTTCACTTCACTGTGTTTTGTGTACGAAGTGCTGATTGTGTGCACAAACCGAAGTCACTCGATTTTATATTGTAAGCAGCTGTTTTCCGGAGGAGTCCAACAAGTCATGTGCATACAGCAAACAGAGTCCAGCAAGACTCGTACTATCCCCCATCTTGCTGGTGGATTTGCTAGTTGTTGCAGTTGTGTCCACATCAGATTGTTCAATTGCCATCTGTTCAAACGGATTTGTGCAATGAGATCTCTGCAGCTATATCACTTATAATAAACACAAATGATTGAGGGGCAGGCTCTACCCCATGCAGGGTGGGTGGCAACCCCTGTGAAAAAGGTATACACTTAGACTTGATCTTGATGTGAGTCACTCTGTTGATTGTTATTGTCTGTCTATTGATCATCTTATTCTAAACCCCTCTTTGTCATCTTCTCGTCTCAATTCATAACTGTACATCCGGTTCTCTCCAGTAGTCACATTCTGTCAAACTTCGCTTCTGGACTTCTCTCCCCTCCTCTTATCATCCCTGCAATATATATGTCGTACCCTGATCCCTGATCCATGTCTTTCCCACTTTGCCACCCCATTCGTCGTGCCTTGCTTGACGTTTCTTCGCAATCACAGGTATCTCGGAGACATTCAGCTCAGCGGCTCTATTCCTGCTACTATTTCCTCGTTGTCAGGAACTTTGGGCTTACTGTAAGGCATTGCCTTGTTCTCTTGTCCTAATTGCTATTTCAGCTCTCACTTGGACACTCCGTAAGCCGTGTTAAGTAGGCAGCAGCTGAGGATCCGCATTTCGTTTGAATGCACCACTCATGGCCCACCTGGGCCGGTGTTGAACTGATGTACGCTGCTTTTGTTGGGAGGGTGTTTGCAATGTTCTTGGCATTGCTGTGCAGAGCCACGAGACACCTTTCCCTTCCCATTCGCCTTCCATTTGTACACCCATCCGTGTGCCCCTCCCGCCTTCCCTTGTCCGCCTTAGCATCCTCCAGCCACCATCCCCATCCCTCTGCCCCCTCCTTCCCTCCTGCATCCTCACTTAGCGCCGCCTTTCTCCCCTCCTGCCATGGGCTGGATCTTGCATTTGCTCAGAGTCTGCCGCAGAATGCCACTGTTCTCGTGTGTGCTTGCTGCCATGCCCACTGTTCTCACCTGACTTTTCCCAACCCACGCCACACAGGGATCTCTCAAACAACTCGTTGACTGGCTCCCTTCCTGACAGCATCACCTTGCTCACTCGGCTCTCTTAGCTGTAGGAAGTTCACTGGAATCATGTGCCAAGGTTGCATCATACTTTCCCGTCGGTCGCTTGCCATTTCGCAGTCAATGGTCGTCGGTTCTCCAGAGCACTCCTTATCCCAGTTCCAAAGCATGCTCAAATTGGATCAGCCTGAGCAGTTGAATGGCAAGTAAACCTTGTAGCAGGCTTGCACTCTGCATGCTCCCACCTTCTCTAACCTCTCCAATGTGCAACCTTCTAAAGTTGCCACTTCTGAAATCCCTGGCCTGTTGGACTGACCAATCAGTTCTTGTAGATTTGTCTCAATGCATTGACTGTTTCATAAGAGTGCACAACGCGCTCTTAGGGTCAGCAGAGCAGAAATTCATGTCGACTTTCCACCCTCGTCTGTTGCAAGGAATCAGCTTATCGGGCCATCCCTTCTGGAATTGGAAACCTCTATATGCTGACCTCGCTGTAAGCTGTGTGAAGTAGGTTGGTGCAGAGGACCCACTTTTGTAGGAACAGAACCGAGCTCTTTTGTTTGGAAGACGTTGGGAATATTCTTGGCCTTCCTGTTCGGAGCCAAGGGACACCTCTTTCATCTCCCACCTCCCATTCGCCTTCCCATTCGGCTCCTGTGCACCCATTCGCGTGCCCCTCCCCGCCTTTACCTTGTCCACCCCATCGTCCTCCCACCAGCTACCATCCCCATCTCGTTCTCCCTCCTTCCCTCCTCCATCCCCACTTAGCCCCAACTTTCTCCCTATTTTGCCATGGGCTGTTTCAACGTTCTCCTCTGTGTGCCAAGCAATGCTTCCCACCATGCTCGTCGCACCACTTCTTGAGTTGGTTGTGTGCTTTTGCTGTCCCTCCTGCCTTGACATATATCTAGCGTTTTGCTTGCCGGACCACGCAGATCGCGTAAAACATTTGGGTTTACGCGCCGAAAATTTCAGATCAGCGAGGCTTGTTTTGCGTGTTAGAATCGATGGGCAACTGCATGGGCCATGGGCCAGCCCGTGATGGACTGGGCTGGGCACCACGAGAGGCCCCGTTTACTGACAGGAGGGGCTGGCCCAGCCTGTCGCCGGCCCATCTCTCTGCCCATGTCTACTACATCGAGACCTGTAGTAGTGGCAAGGGGGGCAGCAGGGGCAAGGGTGAGAAATAGGGCTGGTGCCGGAGAAGGAGCAGTAGCAGCAGCAGCAGTTGGAGGTGACTGTGAAGTTTAAACTATGCCTAAGAATGTAGGACCATGACCAAAGAGGGTGACACGAATTACGTTCTCAGAGTGAGGCAGAAGAATGGTGCCACAGTAGGCAGATGCGAGAAGAGCTGCAAGCGGAGCATCTACACGCGGGCAATGCAGTTTGCCATGGAGGTTAAGTCGGACAGGCAAAGGCTGATGAAGGGGTTTATGGCGCTGATGTGAGTCTGCATTTGAAAGTGCTATTTGAGATAGGCGTGAAAGTTATGGAGCTTGCAGTAGTGAGAACACTGCACCAGAAGAAAGGGAGGCAGGCAGGTGAGAATGACCTGGCATACCCTCGTAGTGACGACATTCCAGTTAGCAAGTTGGAGAAAGATGAGCTGGCAGCAGCTCATGCAGCAGCAAAATAAGAGGCTGCACCGGAGCGGTGATTGTCACTCAACTGGACAAGCCGCGCGACAAGGGAAGGCGGGCAAGGTGACAAGCAGCAGCATCATAAGGTGCTGCATCAGCCGCCAGTGAAACATCATACTTTCCCTGCGCCTCGGCAACTGAGTCAAGCAGCACATCAATGTAGGCAGCACGGTACGGATCACCAGTAGCAGCGGCAGACGAGAGGGAGTAGCATGCGAAGTGGGCTTGGCGCCAGCACGACTTAGCATGCGCTCGAGTAGACACGAGCAGTGGGCTTGGCTCATCTTAGGTTGCCTGATGCAACTGATCAATGCCGGCTTGGCTCGTCGTTTAAGAGTCGAGCCCAGCTCGAGGGCCAGCCTGGCTCGGCAGGGCTAAGGCGCGGCTCGAGCTGCTAGGGTCAAAAACTTAAATCTTTCTGCCTAGAGCTCGTGGATCGGTGGTGAAACGCCAGCAGTCACAAGCTTCGGAAGAGCTCCGGAGGGCTCCTACGCTCTCTCTCTCAACTGGTCCTTTGTATTGCTGAATCCTGGGTACAAGCTAGGCAACGGTGCAGGGAACAGGTACGTGGTAAAGCCGGCCTAGGGAGTCTATGGGCCTACTCGAGCCCCGTGCGGGGTTCGAGGAAACAGTCCCCGAGGGACATGTCTGCCTCTGGGTCGCCGAGGGAAGGCCGCTCCGTCGGCAAAGCTTCGTGACCTTCCCGAGGTAAGAGAGGGCCTGCCCCCGGTTGGAGTGTGATGGACCAGCGCTGGCGGAACTGGCTGAGCAGTTTCCCTGCCTGGTAGGAGCTTGGATCCGCGTCGAAAAGGCGTCCGGCTCCCGTGTCCCCCAAGAGATTCAGGAAGGTGGGTACCTCGTCGCAGGGGCAGCCATAGGTCTCGACTGCGAGTGGGAAGAAGACCACGTACTCCGCCCGGTAGGAGTAGTGGTCTATCTTCTTGGCCGCCTGCTCTCGAGCCATATATCCACGGCCTTGCGGGCCTCGGGGTCGCGGGTGCTGATGGGGTCTGTGAATGTGACGTCGCAGATCCACACCGCCCCGGAGTCCCTATCCCGAATGGCCAGGTCGGCCGTTTTGCCGTCCACAGGGCTGTACATGGCCGTCTCCTTCGTGACAATGAACTCGGCATCCCGGGCCATCCGGATGCACTCGTCACGGAGGGCATTATGGGTGTTGGTGCGGCCATGGCGGGTTCCGCAACGGAACAGGTGGTTTGGAAGGCGGGGTCCGGGAACTTCACACGCTTAAAGCAGTCGCAGAGCTTGGCGCGGGGAAGGGCAACCCCAGGCGGAAGGCCAGCGCGATGGCAAAGTGGGGGGGGGCTAGCCAAAGAGAGGGAGAATGGGTATGGTGAGGAGCCAATCCCCGGCCCCATACCCTTTAGTGAGAGCATCCGCTGGGTATGCCCGCTCAGAGGGTTCAGCTCCATCCCCCGAGTGGCGGCCAGCAGCTCTGCAAATCTGGAGCAGGGCGAGGCGGTGTTGCAGGGGGACGTCCGAGGGCTCCAGCCGCTCAGACTGCAGCTGGTCCAGAGCCGCGTGTGGGAGCTCTGCCTCGCACGCCGCCAGCCAGATGTGGAGTGGGTGGGGCTGGAGTAGGCCGGGGCAAGGGACTGTGCAACCAAGGCCATTGGCCCGCAGGGCGAGTGGCAGGGAGGCCAGGAGGGCCCGGGCCCGTGCCACTCTGGTGGAGGAAGGAGTGGGGCCCCTCCAATGTTGGGTCCGCCAGCCCCAGGCCTCGAGGGAAGGAGGAAGGAGGCTTGAGCCCAAGTCCGAGCCTGTTCTACCTCCCCCTTGGCGGCTGCAGGTTGCAGCTGAGAGGGGTATGGAATAGATCCCTCCCCCAGTCGGACCACTCTGCCAAGGGCAGGAGGTCGAGGGGTGTTGTAAAGATGAGGTATGCCACCCTTCGGGAGATGCAGCGGGTGAGTAAGAGGTGGTCGTCTGGGGGTCCATGGAGGCCAGGGTCGGAAGTGGGCTGGCCAGCTCCGCCCAGTTTGTCCCGGAGGAAGCGTGCTGCGGCCCCCGGTGGTCCGACGTGGCTTCCAAGCACGCGCAGGCCTTTTGGGGCAGAAGGGGATGCCAGGTGGGACGTTGGAGGCGGCAGCAACAGTAGCGACAACGCCTCACACTTAGCAGGGTTGTGGGAGAAGCCTAGGTGCCTGAGCGCGGCTGTGAGGTAGGTAAATGCCGCCGCGCAGGCGTCCGGCTCGCCAAGGAGCATCACGTCGCCCGCATACGCGAGGCACATGACATTGGGGTGGGCGAGGGACGTCGCCTGGAGGGCGGGGTGAAACGCCAGCAGTCACGAGCTTAGGGAGAGCTCCGGAGGCTCCTAATCTCTCTCTCTCTCTCTCTCTCTCTCTCTCTCTCTCTCTCTCTCTCTCTCTCTCTCTCTCTCTCTCTCTCCTC